GGAGCAGGGAGCCCGATGTGGGGCTCGATCCCAGGACCCTGGGATCATGACCTGAGCCGAAGGCAGACGCTTAACAACTGAGCCACCCAGGCGCCCCCATTTAATCTCTCTTAATCCCTTTCTCCTCTCCCTCTCTCTCCCTCTCCCCCTCTTTCCCAGTTTCCCTTTCCTTCACTCCTTCTCTCCCTCTCTTTCTCCCTGTCCCTCCCCCTCTCTCTCCCTCTCTCTCCTGTCCTCTCTCTCTCTCTGCTTCTCTCTCTGGTTTTTGGTCTTATAACGCTTCCTTATTAGCATCATTGATTTCATCCAAAAAACCAGACATACAGTCAGAATCTCTGCTGAGGGCCCTGCTGAGAAAGCTGGGTGGCGACAGTGCACACACAAGCCTGTGCCTAATTCCACATAGTTTGCGCCCAGTGAAGTGAGTAGACAGAGCCTGGGTCCTCCGAGCCCAGCTCCTGAAGGAAATGCAGACGCTCGCTCCCGCTCCCTCCCGATGCTGTGCCTGAGGTGCCTGGGTGGCCTGAGGGGCAGGGGCTCCCCATGCTAACCTCCAGCTTGTGCCCCCAGCAAGCGGACTTCCAGATCTACTCAGAGTACTGCAACAACCACCCCAATGCCTGTGTGGAGCTGTCCCGGCTCGCCAAGCTCAGCAAGTACGTGTACTTCTTTGAGGCGTGCCGGCTGCTACAGAAGATGATCGACATCTCGCTGGATGGCTTCCTGCTGACCCCCGTGCAGAAGATCTGCAAGTACCCTCTGCAGCTGGCCGAGCTGCTCAAGTACACACCCCCCCAGCACAGGTAGGAGGCTGTGGGGGAGCGCGGGCCGGGGGCCAGCCGAGGTGTCACGTACTGGCTGTGGGTGGCCACTGCTGTAGGCGCTGGCTGGCAGCCCACAGTCAAACAGGCGCCACTGTTGCATGCTGTTGCTGCAAGGAGGGGACCAGACAAAAATGGGGTATTCCGTTCTGCTGTGCCCAGCCAGGTGTGCGTTGACAAGTGAAGAACTGGCCGAGGGCAGAGCCCCAGAGGGAAGCAGCTCCACAGGGGGCCCCTCTCTGCTCTCTGAAGTACGGCCTTCTTCCATCTCTCTTCTGCCCCAGGGATTTCAAGGACGTGGAAGCAGCCCTACATGCCATGAAGAACGTGGCCCGGCTCATCAACGAACGGAAACGGAGGCTTGAAAACATCGACAAGATTGCTCAGTGGCAGAGCTCCATAGAGGACTGGGAGGTGAGGGTCCCACACCCCACAAAATACCATGGGGCTCTGCCCCTGAACAATCTAGGAAGGAGCTGAAGCAGGGAGCCGTGCTCCTGGGAGCTGGCGAACAGGCACCAGTGGTAAGCAAGCTGGTCCCCTGCCCAGGCCAACCCACCCGAGCACTGAGCTGCAGGCCTGGTGGTGGAGAGTGTAGGGCATGTGTGAGGTAAGATGTCGCTCCTGGTGCAGCCGGTCAGCCCAGCAGGACAGGCCAGCCCCCAGTTTTAGTAACTACTGGGACTTCTCCCAACAGAAGGGTTCAGGCCTGCCATAGCATGACCAAAAACGATTGCCATGGGTCAGAGCTTCCTGGTTCCATTCTTCTGGCTTGCACATACCCCTTGTCTCTGCCAGTCTTGCCTTCTAAAGCCGCCGGAGGCCTGAACTTACAGGGACATTTCCTGTCCTGTTCTCTCACCTCCACCCACTAGCCATAAATATTATGAAAATACAGATTCTTGGGCCTCATCCTAGAACTAGGAAAATAGAATCCCTGGTGGTGGGGCTGAGCAATGTGGTCTTTGTTTTGTTCAGGGTTTTTTATTTTCCTGGTGCTTGGTTCTGAGGCCCAGACCTGGCTAAGGACCCCTACAAAATTCACTTATCCCAAACTGAATAGCTGCCAAAAACTCCTGGCTGAGGTTTGCATTTCCCAGGAGGAACCGAAAGGGGGCAGGGCTTAGCCTGAAAGTTTGAAGTCTAATGATGGGGCTTCAGGTACTAACTACATTTAGCTGAGAAAACTTCCTTAGCCCCTAAAAGACAAAGTTCACAGGTGACTTCTAGCCAGGTCTAACTATTCTTGAGCGCAGCACTGAACGAAATATCATGGGAGTCACATAGGTAATTGTATATGTTCTAATAGCCATCTTAAAACAGAAAAAAAAGAGTGAAATTAATTTTTTTTCTTTTCTGCTCAGTAATTTTCTTTTTTTATATATATTTTTTATTAACATATAATGTATTATTTGTCTCAGGGGTATAGGTCTGTGATTCATCAGTCTTATATAATTCACAGTGCTCACCATAGCACATACCCTCCCCAATGTCTATCACCCAGCCACCCCATCCCTCCTACCCACCTCCACTCCAGCAACTCTCAGTTTGTTTCCTGAGATTAAGAGTCTCATATGGTTTGTCTCCCTCTCTGATTCATCTTGTTTCATTTTTCTCTCCCTTCCCCTATGATCCTCTGCCTTGTTTCTCAAATTCCACATATCAGTGAGATCATGTGATAATTTGATCTGATTGACTTATTTCGCTTAGCATAATACCCTCTAGTTCCATCCACGTTGTTGCAAATGACAAGATTTCTTTTTTGTGATGGCTGCATAATATTCCATTGTGTGTGTGTATATATACGTATATATATGTGTGTGTGAGTGTGTGTGTGTGTATATATATATATATATACCACAGCTTCTTTATCCATTCATCTGTTGATGGACATCTAGGCTCTTTCCATAGTTTGGCTATTGTGGACATTGCTG